TATAAAGCATTTATTGTCACTCTTTTTTTAGCATTTAGTTTCATTTAATTCATCATTTATTATCAAGGACATCGTTATGTATATAAATGATACAATTATATTTTTATTTCAATCATTAAGATTATTTTATATTACTACGAGCGATATTCTTACATATCAATTGCAAATTATATCGAGTATTTCTATCAATTTACGATAAGATAATTTTTTTTATTTAATTCAATTTTTTTGTAGAAGTTTTTTTCTTAGTTTCTTTCGCTTAGTTAGTCGATATTAAATTAAATTTATATATTTTTAACAGGTAAAGAAAAGAGATTTAATCAAGATCCAAACATTCACGTCTCATCAATTCATGCCGTTTCATAGTCATTCTCTTCGAAATCAACGACTCCTCATATAAAAGTCGGATGAGCAGATAAATTGTATTTATATTGGGATTAAACGTTATCAAAGGATAACAATTCTCTGTATGTATCTTCGTCGCTCTTCGATTTTGTTTAAAAAAATGGTAATCTAGGTCTTTTTAAAACGATCAATTTCAAATCAAAATTTTCTATCCACTAGACATATTTTTCGCGTTTCACAGAATCTTGTCAAATATCATTCCGATTCATCACACACGATATAATTAAACAGCTAAGAATTCTTCAAAATCGAAAGTTATCAGGTACATAAATAGTTGAATTGACTTTTCGTTATCATTGATTTGCGCTAAGGGACGAAATTAGTGTCGCGAGATACGCGAAATCTTTCTGCTTTTAGGTAATAAGACATGGAGAGAGGGCACCTGTGGACACCTATCCAAACGATCCTCATATCAACGACACTATGGAACCATATGGCTGGGGTCAGCTAACAAATGTAAATACTTTTTGCTTCTTAAGTAAATTATCTTACAAATCGTAGTTAACTACGATTAATTAATCTAGGAGGGAAGGAAGAATCAATATAATCAAGGATTATTTCTACGAAAGCGTTACGGTGACTTCCTAGGCTCGTCGTACAATCCTGATATATTCTATCTGCAGACCACCGCTGTAGATCGCACAAAAATGTCAGGTATGGTGGAGGCTGCTGCTCTATGGAAACCCAGCGAGAAGCAGATGTTCAAATCTGATGTTCTTTGGCAGCCAGTTACATTGTTCTACCAGGAACGTCAAGATGACACGGTAAAGCAAATATTTGGCCAGACTAACCAACTTTTTTCGATATTTTTAAATTTATTTTTACGTATGCAGCATATTTAAAACGTTATGATATCATAATCTAATATTATTGAAACCGGATCGAGTACCTATATTTTTGTCATAACTATTATCGTGAGTATCATATAAATCTTCCAGCTTATGTTAGTGTGGAACACATGTCCGAGGTACACACAGATACGCTCTTCGGCAAACGACTTGCCGGAAATTCAAAAGGTGCACGAGGACAACAAGCAATTGTTCGCAGAGCTTTCGAACTTCACAGGCCTGTCGATCACGACTGTTGATGACGTTAGTTCAATATATGCCACATTGACAGCAGAGGTAATTCATTTTTTCTTTCTTTTTAATAGCGATTAACGTCCGGGTGCTATTCTATAAAGTGACTAACGCTATACCTTTTCAATTAAGACTTCGGCTTTTAATTATCCGAATTATTGTTACAGAAGCACATGAATTTGGACTTACCAGAGTGGACAAAGAACTACTATCCCGATAAATTTATCCCCTTGACTTTGCTCGAATTACAGCTTAATACATACAACGACGAATTTCGCAGGTTGAAAGGTGGTCCTATGTTGAAGAAAATCATCAATGACATGCTGGCGAAGAAGGAAGGTGTCTTACAGCCTGAAAAGAGGAAAATGTTTATGTATATCGGTCATGATAGCACCATTGTTACTTTGCTGGATACAATGCATATTTGGTACAATCAGATGCCTCACTACAACATCATGACGATGATAGAGTTGCACGAAGACGAGGATGAATGGAACGTTCAGGCAAGTATTAATTTTTCAAATAAGTCAGAATTTCTAAACACTTAAATCGGAAACATCTAGAATTATTGTGTTTGATGTTTTCCAAATACTTATAACTTTCTATATGAACAATTTATACAATAAACAGAAAAAAGATATTTTCGAATCATTCTTTGAAATTTTGATGATATTCGATTTTTCTATTTGTATATTAAATTTCAATGATTTAGTATTAATAAATAATTATTAATTGATATTTTCTTGAACTCATTAGAAATATTTTACTACAGGTATTTCTAAGAAATACAACAACACGCGAGCCGTATCCGATGACGATACCCGGATGCACCGTTGTATGCCGGCTCGACAAATTTATAAAAATCCTGAAGCCAATGATACCAGATAACTGGGAAGAAGAATGCAAAGTTGATAGTAATTATACAACTCCACTTCCACCGCCTGCATAATTATAGAATTGACTCTACTGACTATATATTGTTTTTTTATTCAAATAATTTTTTATATTTACATTGTAAATAATTATTTATATCATAGATGTCAGAAGTTTTTCATCTCGCATATCTTCACGTCATTGTTCTCGAAAATCCAATTTATTAAGAAGCATAGTTATCATTTTATTAAAAAGTATAACTGAATCCTTGAATTCTCATTTCACAACAATTATATTTGAATAATAATAAGAACTCTTAGCTTATTTATAATTTATACACATGTATAAAATGAGAATGCCTTATTTCTAGCAACCGCGAGTCTTCGATATTCAGGCCTAGATTTAATGCTTGGCTCTCTCGCTGCAACCATATTGAATTATGATGTTAGAAGCGAAAAATAACATGCAAAAAGTTTCTTGCGTCGTATAATTTTATTTTGTACATTTTCCTTAAAAACATATTTTCATATTCTTAAAACTTACAAAAAAGTAAGATATCTGTCCAATCACGATTTACAAATAGATAAGTAAGATATCTGTCCAATCACGATTTACGAATAGATCACGTAAAAGTGTAAAATAATCCTTGAAATAATGATACACAGCCATTAGAAATCATCAGATCATTAGATCTAGGTGTTTCTAATAGCTGAGCAGTGACCATTGACTGACCATTGTTTCAGGAATTATTTTACACTTTTACGTGATCTATTGGACAGATATTTTACTTTCGGGTATTTTTTAAGTTTTAAGAAGATGAAAATATCATGTTTTTAAGGGAAAAATACAAAATAAAGCTATATGATGCAAGAAATTTTTTATACGTCTCGCTCCTGACGTCACATAATCCACGTCGCGCTGCGAAAGAACCGAGCCTTAAAAAATCTCAAAGTGCTTGCCACAAAGAAAGTTTAAGCAAATATCTTCTCTTCCCGTCGCTTTTTCGTGACTACTGTGCCAGGCTTATGCTGAGCATCCGGATGATTCAGCAATTCAGGCGGACAAGTAGATATTGGGCTAGCCAGGATCGTTTGCTTAAGATCATAAAACAAATGACTGTCGTCTTTTGTGCAAAAGGAAATAGCGAGACCAGCTTTGCCAGCACGACCGGTTCGACCAATCCTGTGCGTATAATCTGTAAATAATCCACAATAAAAATCTAAATAAATATTAAGTTAAATTAAGTGAATTAGAAAAAATATTATACTTTTAAGATTTTTAGAAATAGATTATTTTGATCCATTCTTGAATCAAGAAACTTAAAGAAACTTAATGATATTAATGATTGTACAAAGAAAAATAAACTTACCCTCAATAGTTTTAGCCATGTCATAGTTAATGACCATTGATACATCCTTGATATCGATACCTCGCCCCGCGACATCAGTGGCTACCAGAATATCCTTACTTCCACCCTTAAGAGATGCCAGAGCATATTCTCTCTGTTCTTGGCCTTTGCCACCATGCAAGGTACAAGCATTATACTAGAATGAAAACATAACTATGATATTAGATATTTACTAAGATTTTGTTTTGTAATTTTTTTTTAAAGTTCCGAATGAGATTTTAATGAAAATTTCACATTTGAGAAGCTAAACGTCATAAATTGAAATGAGTTCCATCACAATTATAATAAATAAAAAAATGATGTTATTTTTATTATTTTACATACTCCTAATTTTTCTAAGCCTCTTGCCAAGACATCCGCACCCTTCTTTTGATTGACAAATATAATGACAGGCGGTTCAACGCCTCTGCTAAGTATTTCCATAAGTTTCTTTCGCTTGTCAGCTTCACCCATTATGTGAACTATTTGCTCGGTGCGTTCTGTCGGCTTACCGACACTGCCAATATATACTACTGCTGGTCTTCTCAAATAAGTTCTGGCAAGTCGTTCTACAGCTGGTGGCATGGTGGCGGTAAACATCACCGTCTAAAAGCAAAAAGTAATTATTAGCTGTTTTAATAAATAAATTAATCTTCTTGGCTCTTCAATATCTATTAACATAAAAAATGTAAATAACAAGATGATACCTTTTTAAAAGAAAAACAAATGTCAAATTCAAAATATTGAGTTAATGATTGCAAATTGTTTTTATTTGCATGATTCAAAAAGAATAAAAATTATCAAACAGTTAATAAATTTAGAAACGTACTTGTCTATATTTTTTCTTTGTATTGTAGTTGGCCAAAAGTTTTTCTTCATTTTCTGCATCCTCATTATCCGGTTTCAGATTTGTCACAGGCATATATTCCAGAATTTTTTGTACATCTAAAAAAAAGATTAACATTTGTTTTAATAACATTGTGCATTGTTGCATAGCAGTATTCGATAATAACTATATCGTTTCTCGAACAGATAGAACGGTTAAATTAAGTAAAGATTTGTATCATTTTACAAATTCCGAAATAATAAGATATTCATTTATAAACATCCACGAGAGAATGTATGAATAAATACAGCTTTATGTGCACTCGTAGATGTAGTGCTGGTCTATATATTATATATTGTATGATAGAAATAGTATGATAGAATGCTTAATTTTTTTTTATAAAAGACAGTATGTTGCGTAAAAAAATCTATCCATTTGTAACGCAATATTCGTAATTGTTAATTATAAAATAATAAAAAAAATATCGTATTTAATTGGAAAAGAAATATTAATAAATTAAACAGAATTTTAATTTTTTTAAAATAATGAAACAATAAAAATGTTAAATTATTAGACTACCTGGTTCAAAACCCATATCTATCATTCTGTCTGCTTCGTCCAATACGATGTAAGTACACTGATTTAATACAAGATAACGATTCTCCAAAACATCTATCAATCGGCCAGGTGTGGCAATAACGATCTAAAAGGGAAGATAAATTGAATATTTTATTGTTACTTTAGTTAGTTTTTCAAATTTAAAATCGAAGTCCATTTGACTTGACATCCAAATCTCTGTTATTTAAATCAAAATTATTTGACTTTTGAATGGAAGAAATGTGAATATCAATCGCATATATTATATTATCAAATCAACTTTGCTATCTTCATATTAATCTTCATATTAACTTCAAGTTCACAATAATTATTGCATTAGAGATTGTGTTTTTAAAATTGGATTCGATTTAAATAAAATTTTGTTGATTCGATTTGATGAAAATTTGAAAAATAAAATTCAATTAATTTAATTTGTCATAAAAAATCTTTGAGTCATATATCTCTAGAATTAATAATTTTAACATTGCAGAAATTACCTCACAGCCCATTCGTAATCTGAAACCTTGCTCCTCTCTCGACAAACCACCCACTACAACGACAGTTCGAATGCCCAATGGTTGGCCAAATTTATTAGTTTCTTCTTCTATTTGTTGCGCTAATTCACTGCAATAAATAAATGCTAGGCTTTATCTCATATAATATAAATCATGTTCTCTATAAATTTATACAATTGATCAATTCATCAATTGAGCAAATATTTGAAATTTAAAGAATAAAAACACGTTATACAATTAATAAAGACAATGTAAGAACTAGAATAATAATTGATACCGAGTAGGTGCCAAGATGATACTGTAAGGGCCTTGGTCCGCTTCCTCAAGTCTCTCAATTTTCGGTAGACTAGTGATCCACAATAGCAGCGGAATCAGAAATGCCAGAGTTTTTCCTGAACCAGTTTCGGCGACACCAATGATATCACGATTTTGTAGACCGATAGGAATAGCTTGTCGCTGAATGGGCGTGAGATCCTTATAACCAACTTTATCAATAATATCCAGAATCTCTTTTGGAAAGCCAGATTCCTTCCAAGAACGAATAGGATCAGGAATGCGTCCTCCTTTTATCGTGATGTTGTAGTCTTCTCTGAAGATACGCCAATCACGCTCGGTCATCTCGTTCAAGGCTTTTTCGGACCAGTGTCGATCGTCCCATTTTTGCTTTTCCTCCTTTCGCTTTACTTTCTTTAACCTCATTCTTGAAATTATAGAAATAGAAATTATAGAAATGATTCATAGTAGTCACAATAATATAACAATGATAGCAATATGATAATTAATAAGGATAACAATATAACATAGATCTAAATCGATTGTACAGTGCAATTTTGTTTCAAATTAAAAATTTTTAAAGTTTTTATATTGTTCTTAAATAATTAAGACAAAATAATTACTGTGATCTTATTGATAAAAACTGTATATCAAAAAGTAAAATCCACTATATCAGTGAGATGATAAGACTCACTTCTCTTGTTCCTTCTCAGCTTCTGTACGTCTCTTCTCTAACAATTCACCATAAAACTTGCTCTGATCCCGCTTTTGTGCCTTGATATCGATACCTGCTAGATTACCTCGTCCAAAGAATTGCACTTGATGCCTCTCTTTGTAAATGCTATTATAATCCACAGAAGTATCCTCTGAAGTATCCCAATCAAAAACAAATTTTCGATCATTTAATCTTCTAACTCGCCGCTTCTTCTTCACCAAACCCAAATACCGTTCCTTGATGGCCTCTACTTCTTTTTCTTTGTCTTTGTCCTTGATCTCGTCTTCACGCGAGCGTTGTCCATCTCTCCTTCTACTGATAAAAAAAATTATATTTTTGACATTATCACAAGATTTATAACAATAGAATTTTCATTATCATGCTTGATAAAAATTAGATTAAAAAATTGATATAAAAATTACCTATGCCATATATCTTGTAAACAACATATCCTAAAATTAAAATATTTAAATACCTATCTCTGTCATCCCATTCTCTCTCCTTGCCAGTACTATCATTGTGAAACAGCAACTTGCGTTCTTCCTCCTGTTGCTTTCTTATCACTTCTACTTCCTGCTGACGTTTCTCCAGTGCTAAAATCGCTCGTTCTTCCTTAGTGAGAAATTTTGGTTTAGCTCGAGCTTCCTCTTCCGCTTTCTTCTTGGCCAATAATTCCTCGAGACTCAATGGTTCCTTTTTTGGTATCGACTTGACCTTCTCTTCTGTCTCCTCCTCCTCTTTTTTAGCATCACTCTTCAGATCCTTCTTCGAATCGTCTTCGGCGAGCGTGGGACTACCCTTGCGTTTCTTTTCGTCCTTGGATCTGTCCTTGACGTCGCGACGCTCTCTCGAGCGATCGCGCTCTCTTTCTCGCGATCTGTCGCGCTCACGTGATCTATCTCGCTCCCGTGATCGCTCCTGCGATCTAGATCGCTTCCTGTCCTTCTTGCGATCTTTAGATCGACTTCTGGTACGTCGACGGTCGCGTCGCTCTCGGTCGCGCTCGCGTTCTCGTTCGCGATCGCGAGATCGGCTGCGCCGAGTAATTTTCTTGTCGTGTGGCATTTGAATAAAGTACACCCGATAAGCGAATTTCTTTTTGTTGAGTTAGCTCAGATTATATGACACAATACGTCTTATTCCGTTCTTAATAAACGAAAGAAAAATTGTGGTTAGAATGCTCAGAAACAACGCTACAGTTGAAAGTTTCTGTTCGCTGAATGGGTAAATCGTTAACATACACTACCATGCATACACTGATGTTATAAAGAGATAAATAGCAACGAGAAAGTAATTCAAAATCACATGACTTGTATTTTCATTGCGTTAGAATTATCTTTTTGCTTTCCACGTTAGGAAGAGACTCGTAAACCACATTGCAAACATAACCTCATCTTTCGAAACCTTTGACTATACAATTATAGCTGAAAAACGCGCAATGAAAAACACAGGCAACAGGAACAGGGAATAGCAACAGCCAACAAATTCCGACCAATCAGAAGCTGTGAAGAATATTGGAGATACTTCTGATTGGTCGAAATCTGTTGCCTGTTCCCTATTCCCTGTTCCTGCTGCCTGTGTTTTTTATTGTGCACCCAGCTTTATAGAGGAGCGTATCCCAGATGCGCACATTTTTAATCGGACACACTACTCACATCAGCCGATGCTTAGGAATTTTCTAGTGAGCCACCTATCAAAAATTTTTTTATTTAATCGACCAATCGGCAATGTGTCCGTTTGGATCTCATCCCTTTATACTAGCGGTGCACTTGAACAGTACCGTTCTGCACCGTCCGAGTTCTCAATCGTGCACTCGGTTTTGTCCAATGAAAAACGCACGTCCAATTATCAGACCCGTTCCACATTGAACATCGCTCATCGCGTTTGATGTGCGAGGGTCATTACTCAGCAATTTCGCTTTTTTTGGAATGTGTAGCAAGGGAGTAAAGATCATTGAACTGCGTTAAATAAATTCTGATAGTTTTGAACAACGGCGCTTATAGTGTTGGGGATTAGGATAAGTTTTTTTTTTTTAATTAAAGACTAGCGGATAAAAAATAGCATGTAAACATCATATAAATACCGAATAAATCAAACATATAGATAGGTATAATTTTTAAAACATATGTCTGAATTACGCGACATGTTTTGAGTCTAATCGATTTGATCGATTTGTACGGGCTACGTAATCTTAAATAAAATCTGTTGGTATTTTTATTGGTATTTTATCCTTCATTGATTCTACGAAATTATGTGTACCTCCGTGAAAAATAAGGTAAATTTATATTTCTATGGTTTTTTTACTGACAATAATTATAACTTTGTCACTGATCATATCTAATGTTTATCTTAGATCAATTGTTTTCGTAATAAATAAAGATCAATTTTATAAAAAAATAATCTGTATTCTCTTATTAATTTATTTGACAATTTTGAAATTAATATTTTTATTTACTTTTACAATTAAATTGAATGGTATTGTTTTCTTATTATTTAATGTTACTTTTTAATGTTTCTTTTTGCAATAAGTTAAATGTTGAATAGCCTGATTTTATTTCTAAGAGAAATTTGAACATTTATTTAAATAGTTATTTTATAAGATTTAAAAAAATTTTCAAAATTCAATATTTTTTGTGATTTTAATATATCTTATCTAGGATCTTCCACAAGACCAAGATACATTGCAGTTTATCAAAAACCTATGCTGGAATTTCCTGCGATGTATGATTGTACAGCTACATTTTCTCTTTGATAACATAATAGATTTTGTCTTTGGCATATACTATGATAAGAAAGTAAAAAAAGTACCACCAATAAAAAATAAGCTCTTATTGGAAAGCGCTGTTTCTTTAGCAGAGAAGATTAGGTCAGTAATTTATCCTTTACTTAATAAGTAGTCAACAAAGTATTATCAACATGTTCACTGCCAAAATAAAATAACATTTAATTTTATGAAAAATATGTTTTCTTTTGTTATTTAATTTCTAAATAATAATTGTATGAAACTTCTTGATTATTTGAAGATTTCAAAATTATTTGATTGACAGTGCAAAATGCTTTGTGAAATAAAAAATATTATCTATATGTGAATGACATATATGAAATGGCAGTCAACATATTAAAAATTGAGAGTTTTATAAAATCTTGTCAGTTTGGACAATTAATTCATAATCTAATACTAGTTTTATAAACTACTTTTGTTTTATATTTTATAAACATATATACCTATATGTATCTATAATGATATGTATCTATAATGATATTTAATTTTTATTTAAACTTGTATTTCTATTCTTATCTTCTATTATTATCAGGGATCAATTATTTATGTTTATGATAACTATAGAAAAACAATCATCTATCTTTATTTGCTCATTTATAATACAGTAAAAGAATTTACATTTTTATTTTTATTGCAATAATGTTTTGAATTTTTTTATTAATATATATTAGTAGAGAAATTATTGTAAACATATATGTTTTATTGAATATTTATATTATTTAATTATTTGTATCAATAGTTAAAATAATTAACAATATATTTATTCTTTAAATATCTCCAAATACACTTGATTATAAAAATTTTATTTGAAGCTAGTAATGTTTATATTGTTAATAATATATTGTTGATATACAAATATCAACTTTAGAATATAATTTAAATGTTTAATTATGTATGAAAAGAATACATACTCACATATGTATTATTTTGATTTAGAACAAAAAAGATTACATCAGAGGAGGTTGTACGAGCTTATATTGAAAGATGCAAGGAAGTAAATGATTTGATAAATGCAATTGTGGAAGATAGATACTCAGATGCAATTGAAGAAGCAAAAGCAGTGGATGCTATGATTGAAAAATGTACAGACTTGGATAAAATAAAAATAACGCAGCCATTCTTGGGAGTACCATTTACCACAAAAGAAAGCAATCGTGTTAAAGGTATGCAGGGCAATGAAATAAAATTACATAGAATTTTTTGTTGACTTTTGAAAAAAATGTGTAAAGTTAAAACTTGAATTTATTAAATTTCAAATTTTAAAAGTTTAATA